TAGAATATAAAAAGAAAGTATATTAAATAAAATTAAAGATGTTTTAAAAAAAAAATAGACAAAAAAAATTTTTTTTTTAAATATTTTATTTCGTTTAATTTGATTGGTTGACCTGAATTTTATCAGGTCGGGTCATAAGCTTGATCCGACCTGATGTTGACCTGAAAATTTGTCTATCCGACCTGGATTTTTCAGGTCAGGTCGGGTCGGGTCACAGGTTGATCTGACCTGATTCAGAGCTCTACTAATACCTCTATCTTTTTCCTCATACAAACATGAGAAAAATGTGAAAGGAAATCCAGTTGCAATACAGGACCTTTCCTATAAGTTAATAGTGATGACAAAAGCATATGTTATGAAAGGCTGGTAGACTCACATTTCTGGGATCGTCAGGCGTAAAGCTAACTATATGTCTTTCCAGTAGATCTACATGTAAAAAAGTATGAAGATTCTGTTTACATGTGCTTTCAAGTGACTCTTGGTGTCAGACGAAAATACTAATCACTTTTCTTATCTCTTTTTTTCAGCGGAATATAAAGCATGTAGTGGTGTGTAGAAGTTCCTGTCTACCAACTTTTCGCAAAATTTATAAGGTGCATATATGTCAGAAGTTATGTATGTATAGGAATGAAAATTTCTCACTATGAGACATTGTATTTAGGAAAATAAGATGTCTTGCTAGGCTGAAATGATAAAACTATGGGAAACTCAAAGACTTATCAGCTTTTTGAGGAGTGATTTAAAATTAGAAGGCTTAAAACTTGACGATAACTTTTTTACGAAGCTTCGTGATGAAAATATCACTGGTGATTTATTTCTCAGGCTAACAGGATGGAATTTAAAGGAATACAGAATGACATTAAGACAGGCATTAGAACTTGAGAACCACATTAAGGAACTGTGTGAGTAATTAAATGTTTCTTATAGCTGTATTTTATTGATGAGGTCCTCATTATCCTAATAGTCTTATTTTATAAATCAAAATAATCGAAAAGGAGCATTAGGAGTTCACCTTGTGAAAGGGTCTAATTCGAAATAAAGTGATCCCCCAACCAGTTAGAAATTTTTTATCTATATTTGTGTCATGTAAAGCTATATATTCGCAATTTTTTATATATTAGTTGCTTTGGTAATATTTTTTTATTTCTTAAATAAAACATATATTACATTTCGCAAATTGATCCACAATGAACTTCTAACCCATGATGTGGCACAGTAAATTTTTCCTTTTCTTGGCAAATTTTATATAGATCTTTTTTAAATGAATATGACCAGGAGGAAGAAAAAAAAGCATTTTTTGCGTAACATATCTCTGGCTATACTATTATCAAATCAATAAACAATATTCGGGTATGGATATTTTTCTAGCGATCATAATGCACATGTTAATCCTTCATCATTTTTATTGATTAGCAAAGTAAAAATGAATGACAAAATGCAGTGCGTAATTGCTAATGATAATCTGAAAGAATCTCTTTTCTAAGACATTTACTCACATTGTATAAAAACCGGGCAGACAGTATTTTTTTTCAAATCCTATTGTCCAGTATAGTATGTCAGATTCTGAACAAAATAACGAGCCGATTCCAGAACTGCTCAAGACGCCTAGAGAAAAAAGCAGTACTTCTTCACCTGAGCATCCTTCACTTATTAGATATAGAAACCTGGGATATAATATTCTAGAAAATATCGATGATGACCTTGTAAGAGATAAAGAAATTCTGGAACTTGGGTCATGTTCTGAATGTGCGAACAATATTTTGACACGTCCTTTCAATGCCTTTATTATACTCTCTTGTGAATATGTGTTTCATAGACTTTGCATTAAGAAGAATTTACTTACCAAACCAAGTAGATGTCTATTTCCCGATTGTGAAAAAAATGTTGATATCATGGATCCAAATTTTACTAGAAGCAAACTGAATGATTCACCATCATCTCAATCAAGTAGAACTTCGGCCTTATCCAATTTTATGAATGAAAAGTTTTTCCTAACATCACCAGCAATACTAGAAGATTCAATAGAGAGTGTTGAGAATGCTCTATTTCAACAAACTGAAAGTCATTTAATATGGCCAAATGTGCTGAAAATATCATCTCAGATTTCCCGAAAGACACTGTATTTTTATCCTGTAAACATGCTGTGCATTATGATTGTATTGACAATCCATATAAGAGATGCCCTTCCTGCCTAACAACTGATGATTTGAAAACTTTGGGTTTGAGTGATATGTAGAGAAAATGATCTAATGATTCAAGCAAATCAACTGAAAAATCGTCTAGCAAGAGAACGAAAAAGACTGGAGAGAAGAAAATATCGGATATGCTAAAAAAACTTATCGAAGAATTATCCTATCACAAAGGAATCCCCTCTGAAACATCTCAGAATTTTGAGATTATGGAAAAGAGAACTGTGAATTTTTTTGAACTGTATAATACAATCATTGATATAGAAAGTAGGAGGAGATTGTAAAATGAGAAGCTATCAAATTATATTATAATTTCAAAAAAGCACTTGAGGATCGTTATGATTATTACAAGAAAAATAATCCTAAGCGAACAGCCTAGGTATTAGTCAATAAAGAAGTTCGAAAACAACTCCCTGACTCTGTTAGTGATGATTTACTTCAGAAGAAAAAAGAATGGGCTTTAAAGATTTATGGTCTTTTTAGCGAAATAGTAAGCATAAGATTTAAAGGATAAAATCTTTCTCAGTATCATCTATATCAAAATTAAATCCGAACGATATTGACTATATATTGGTTAAGTTTGCGAAATAGTATTTACTGCGCCACTCACGTGACATTGTGAAATTGGTTCACATTCTCTGAAATAAATTTTAGTCATGTACAAAGCCCTTTCGGCTAAATTCATTTATATTAATAAAGTTCGCTCATATCAGGGTTAGTGTTTTTTAACATGTATGATAGTACACCCAAACAATAAATATGATTCTATACAATGCCATGTACAATTTTAAGGCTGATCATCTTGTAATTTATGGAAACTTGCCAGTATCTGGAATTGTCTTAGAACTGTTGTGGAACTGGCAAGGGTACAATTTTTTATAATACTGAAAATAATTTAACCATTACATTATCTATCGGATCTAATTAATCGAATCATGACTGGGTAATCTTCTATTAATCACGAAAGATCTACATAGCATGTATTAGATCATCTTATACTCTGAATTTTTGGCGATCATCCCATGATTTGAGAAACATCTTAGCATCATAATAGCACCAGGGAACTGTCATAGAACTGGCAGGAGCTAGGATGATTCCTGTGATATGTCATACACCACTGATTAAAATTATTTAGCTATTATATTATCTCGAACTAATTTAGCTGAATTATGCCATTGGAAAATCCCTTACATGCATGTGAATATGCATATAGCCAGATGTAAACCTTATATAAACCCTCAATATGCTTGTAATCAAATAAAAAAAATGAATCTAATATTTTATTATAATATACTTGTATAAACTACTATAACACTAAATATTTACTAAAAATGCTATATATCACTAAAATTGCTATAAGTCTTATTTATTGTCTGTAATCACATATAATTATTAAATATACCTGGACTAATGGTTAAGATCATTTTAGATAACATTTATAATAAAGCTGTACCTAAATCTATCAATCTTCATCCTGTATATGATTTGAAGCATATTCATAACGTTTAGACTTATAATGATGACTATAGTCTTGAAAAAATGGTTGAAATAGAAAGACGATATGATTATTTATTTATTATTAGACCTCATGAAATGCCACAGCAATTGGCTTTTCACATAAGAGGTGCTCTGCAAGAGTTACTTTCTAAGCGAGAATATAGTTTATACTATGTGTACTGTCTTTTTACCTCATTTGGACAAGGAAAAAACAAGACGTTCTATGATTATGATATTGATGGATTAAGAGATATTCCACATGAGTATTGTAGACGCTGTGTTCATAAAAGTCAAATGGCTATCTGCTTTAAATGCTGGAAATTGATAAAAATTACCGAAGTAAAGCCAAGAAAGGTATATTATGATGGATGGCACAAATAGGGCTATGAAGTAAAGTCTGAAGACTTGATGAAAAATCATTGGAACCAGGAATGTAGAGTTAAGCCATTTTGTATTTCACCTGATAAGAAAGAAATATCTTCACCAGTTTCTTATCGATGTTCGAATTACAAAACCAATACAAGTAAAATATTTATCTCATCTTGGTATGCAAAACAGAATAACTTGTTACTATCCATAAACTATCTTAATAAACCAAAAAATGTTACATTAAGATTAAGAAATGGGTAGAAATCACGATTGTTTAATTGGATGACTGACTAATTTTGAGAAATGTAGACCATTACTTTATTTGGTATATAACTTATTATATTTTTTTCTTATCAAAGTGATTGGCAAAAATAGTTCTATATAGGGAAATGCATTATATTAGCTCTATATTTACTTGCACTTTATGCTAATGCATGTAGGCATGTGTGACAGTCGTTAAGGTGCTAAAGCATAAATAAACATGTTTCTAATCCTCGTTAAAGCTTATGAAGTGCATGTATGATGTAATTGTGATACACTGCCAATCATCTGTATAAGTACGACTATCTACTTGTGTAACAAAAAAATTTCACACATAAATCGATCCTCCCCAAAAAATATTTTGAATTTTTTCTCTTGCAATGTTCTAGAAAAATAATATATTAACTAATATATATATTTGCGCTGAAGAGACAGGGCTATTTCTACTCTCTTTCAATCATAGACCTGCGAAAGATATCTATACAAATAATAGCATATCTAGATAGACAAAAAACCATATATACATTACCCCCAATGTTTTTCTAAATATCAAGATCTTCAATGCATATTTACATACCCTTATTCTCTAATACAAATGTTTGGCATAGAGCGCCTTGCATATTTCTCCTATCTCTTTTCCCCTAATATGAATACAAGCTCAGAAAAACGTAAATGGAGTCATTTAAAAGGGTAATATATTCTTTTTTAGCAAAATTATACATTTTTATTATTATGTCTTCTCCTATATTATATGAAAATATTTATAATTTTTTACTTGATTCACCCTCAGATCATATTACTGCATTTTCTGTTATTTTTCAACTAATAGAAGATGATACGTGGTATCCAAAAAATAAGTTAAGAGAAATAATTCATCAGGCAATTATAGTAGTAAAAAAGAATTACAATCAGACTTCAGAAAAATATCTCAAACTTGTTAATATTCCCTTGAAGGTTAGTGATTATTACTATTATTTATCAGATTTATAATCCCAAATAATGATTGCGCAGAATGATATTATAATACTAAATTAAGGAAGTACCCATAGCCATATGGGCACAGGTTTAATCAGACGTATTATTTCCTTAGACACACGAGGTGGATCTTAGTTCTGGTTTATGAAGAAAAAAATATAGCATTCATGTGCATTGTTAATTATATGCAGGTCACATATAGTTAATAATTACATGAAATATACTAATGGGTGTGCGCATACGAATCTAATATCAAAAGTTTAACTACATTAGTACTAATATAAGGCTTCTGTGCTAGTTTGATGATGCATATAAAGATGTAAGTAGTCTTCAAAGTATCAAAGAATCAAAACAGGAAGAATCACCCACCAAGAATGAAATCGAGACGAATTTGTGTGTATTAAAAACCAATCTTAAAAATAGCAAGACTCCATATGCTCACCACTTTTGTAAATATTTAAAGAAGTACTTCGGATTTATCATAACGCATTCCACTTGCTAGTCAAGTGATTTGTGCAGATTTGGAAATGGTGAGAACTTTGGAAGTAGAAGCATATAATTTTTTATGGTGAGTAATTTAGCAAATAGTGTTTTGTATTGCTATAGTTCACTTTCAGCAAAGAATATTATATTAATATTGTAATCCCATAGGATCCAGCGGAACGTATGAAAGTAACTGCTTCAAATTTTGTCAAAGATAATTGTGATTCCTTCGTTTTGAATTTCATAGACAGTATTACAGATATTTCAAATAATAGACTTTTACATGATAAAAGTTGGAAAGAATCTAATGAAAAACTAGCAAAAGTTACGTTAGGTATACTTAATATCTTGTGAGTATTTTAGTAATAAGAGACTTAACATAATCATATTTGGCATTTCTTAAAATTTTTTCATTTAACACTATTCTTTATTAGGAGAGATATTTGGAAAAATCCTGCCTTCAGTCCAAAGCTGATTAAGTCACAAAATGTAGAGACATATATGACTGATGTAATAGTTCCAATGATTCGAGCATCATTAAAAGATCTTCCAATTGAGAAATCTGATTATATTTCTACAGCCGAGCGTCAAAGTATAGCCAGCAAAGATCGAAGAGGAGTTGGAAAATGACCAGATATTATGTTTATTGCTAGTTGTAATAATAGGTCATATGAATTAATTTATGGTAAAAGTTCTCGTATCATTTGCGATTAACCAAAAAAGGAAAATGATAAGGTAAAAACTTGGAGAGAGATGATGGGCTCACAAAGGATGCAAACTGGTCAAAGATGATTTTGGTATTATTGGGATTCAAATCACCAGAACTGAGATGCATCTAATTATCCTAATTCGAGATATGGATGAGATACATCATTTCTATAATTTGCGTACAGTTAAAATTCCAATACAGCCAACAGATGGAAATACAGTATTTGAATTTGTTAAAACTTTATTGACAATTCGGATATGTAGAACACAATTCTTATATTTCACTCGCCACTCCTTTAGTTATAGACCTATAGGAGATAATCTATCTCCTCCTTTGATCAAAGATCTTCAAAAGAAAGCTTTCCAATTTTTTATATATTAATTCTAAAAATATTTCACTAAACATATACTTATAATTATAGAATATCTTGCATGTCAATATATCTCTTTATATTATACGCTTCCAACTAGTTCAAGTAGTAATACAGAAAATAGCTTCACAGTTTCTTCTCCACCAAGATCACCACCAAAAATGAAAAAAGAAAGTCTATAAAATTCGAAAAAAAATAATCTAATTATTATTTGTATTACTGTATCAATAAAGTGATCCTAGCAGTCGATTTTGCAAATATATATATTCATGTTTTTGTGTGTGATATATATCAGATAATAAAATTTTCTTGGCAATTTTCAGCTGGGATCTCCAGTTAAAATCATATGATTTTTTGCGGACTAATGATCAGGATGTCACGTGAAATTCTTGATCAGCTAATATATCTAGCCGATCTGCCAGATTGGTATCACAAAACTGACACGTAAATTTATTTTTAAATTCTTTAAATTCCCTTCTCTGAATACGCAGAATTCTTTAATTCTCAGAATTTTTTATTAGTTACCTATGGTAATAATGACTAGCATATTAATACCATCTTTTCATATATATTACTTGAAACAACTTAATCAACTTCCTCAATCTATCAAAATAGATATATGGCGACGTCTTACATCTCAAAAATATTTATTATCGCTAGAACAGGCAAGTAGTATTCACCCTGAAGTGAAAGATTTGTTAAATAAAGCAGTTGAAAATTATATTAAGAAAAAAGAGCATCAAAAGATGAAGCCTATTACTAGTGACTCTGAAACTTTGTTAAAATAAGAAAATGAGGAGTTGTGTATATCAAAGCAGGTATTGGAAAAAAAGATCAAAGAGCTTCTCAATTTGCAAGAGCAGTATAAGTCTCATGAGGTAACTATGATCAAGTCTTTGGAAAAGAGTGGTGAGAAAGTCACCCAATTATAAAATTCAGTATCTTTATTAAAAAGTATAATTCCTGATATGAAAAAAGCTATTACATCAGCTGAAAAGTCTATTGACATGCTAGAGGACAAATGCCTATATCTGGAAGATATTATTTCCGCTAAAGATAGAAAAATTATTGCTCTGGTTGATCAGATCTCTTCTTATACAAAATATAGTGATATAACTATAGAACCGGAAATATATTCCAACACTTATGAAAGGAAATTATGGACAAAAAGGCGTAGTGAATCTGAATATAACCCAGAAGCCAAAAAAAAATACATTTCATTTCACTTCATCAATTTCTTTGAGGTAGTGCTAAGCTGAAAAAATTTCTACTCACTAGCTTGGACATTTTTTTTAAAAATTTGATCCCATCCAGCTCGTATCCTGTGAGGATGGTTTGGAGGCACTGTTAAATCAAAGACAATAAAATTGCGATCAGTCAAATAGTTAACGACATCTTCATATATACTACGCCAATCATAAGTATATAGGTGAAGAATATGGGTTAGTTCATCAGAAGTAGAGCCATTAAAGAGTACAATATAATTTAATTCTTTCCTTATTATCTTCGGATAGTCAAAAAAGCTCTGTGTGATGTACATACTACTAACATTTTTATGATGCCCTTCAGTAAAATAAGGAACACTTTTCTGCTGGACTTTCTTTGGATCAGTGCATACATCTTCAAATATAGCCACTTTACCTCTTTCTAAAGAGAATAAATCCAGCTTTGAAATTTTATCAGACTTTATAGCCACTTTACCTTTTTCTAAAGAGAATAAATCCAGCTTTGAAATTTTATCAGACTTTATAGCTACTTTACCTCTTTCTAAAGAGAATAAATCCAGCTTTGGAATTTTATCAGACTTTATAGCCACTTTACCTTTTTCTGAAGAGAATGAATCCAGCTTTGGAATTTTATCAGACTTTATAGCCCGAAATGTGATATCTTCACGATATGGTTTTGGACTATTCGCAATTATCTGATAGGCTGATTTGAGATACCTATATTTTGGTTCGTTGAGATGGTAGCCAAAAAGAATTAAATCATCATTTTTGATATATCTTGTCCTTTCATTCTTACCTTTAAATATTCGATAAAGCTTGTTTCCTAATAATATATTCACAACTTCGTTAGTTTTTCCTGAATTGGTCCATCCTGAGATCAGAAGGATGAAAGGCCATTGGGGAGTTGAGTTCAATCTGTTGAATCTTTTTGCATCTTTTATCTTATCAATATGGAGAACAATTCTATCTACCCGATCAAGCTTTTTGACTTAATGTTTTTTATGATTTTTCATATTACTTAATAACATACTTTAAAAATATATCATGAAATTTTCAGATGGGCCATTGTCGAGCTGGCTCAACTTAACTTGGGGAATTATTCAAGAATCCTTTCTCAATTAATGTATGCTTAATGTAAGAGAAAAGGTCACATATATATGGCACTTCGATAAGACATATACCTTGCTCCTTGCATATATCCCACTTCTTCTGATCTCGTGATTTTTGTTCTTCCAAATCTATATTCCCTCTCTTATGAAACATTAAATTAAGATGATAGTATTAAGGACCCTGGAATTCAAAAGCAAGATGCAATTCCTCGTTATAACCATCCAAATGCATCCCATTCAAAAATGATGGTCTACAGGATGGGAATTTCTTTCCTAGTAGATCTTCAAAAATATATTGACACTTGTATTCACCGCTAGTATGATGGCATAGAGGGCACCACTCAATTTTTTCATGATATACTTTAATGGATACTCCCATTGATGCGCATCATTTTCACAAGACCAAAAATATATATCATGACTATTTATTTCTCCAGTCTTTCTTAGACATTGACCACCATGTCTTTGAGTATAACCAATAGCTTAGTTTAACTCATTATTGATAGGAGAAGCATGAATGAAATTTATGGATAATATACTTTGAGGTGGATACCCAACCTTTTTGGGATCAACTATTAACATGAGTTCTTCTCGCATAAACCCGTGAGATGGTGCAAATTCATCATCATCACTTCCAAGATAATATAAAACTGGCTCATTCTTTATTACTACAATTTTTCAGATTTTATGAATAGAAGGCGAGTATGTGGAATCAGTAGCCCTCTTTTGATTCTCCATTCTTCCTTCCCATTCTGCAATAGCAAGAAGATATCGAACGCTATCACCTTTTTTTAATGTTATTTCATCTTTTCCAACTGGGTGCTTATATTTTGTGAATGGTCTCGATTCTACTTTTTCTAACATGATAGCTTTATCCCTTAAATGGTAATGATTTTCATTCAAATTTAGTTATGATTTTCAATCAATTATTATGCAAAATTCTACATAAAAACTTACAATTTTTTTTAATTTTTAGTTA